AGCAGTTCCCTGATGTAGTTCAGGCACAGTTATGACCCTGACATTGTTGGATCAGCCCATTTACAATTCTACAGTGCATTAGACCGAGAAATGCCCCCCTCCCCCTTTTGGGAGTCGCCTAAAGACACTTCAGTCAGTAGCACCGCCCCAAGGGTAGGCATCGTTTGGTATCCAGTCTCTGAGACAAGATTGGGTATCCGATTCAATACCTAATCTGAGAAGTGATAGATACCCCCCCCCCTACCAAGAGCTGTATAGAATCGCTCCGTTTTAACGACAGATGATCGGATTATTTCCATTTGGCATAGATCAAATCTATTGTTACAAATGTTAATAAAATAACAAAGTGGTTTTTCTAACAGTCAGCTTTTACGCCCTTTGTTCTGATTTCGCTTTTTAAAAGATGGTATTCTTAAAAAGAAATCAATTTTTATTTATAAAAACCTGGCAGGAACATGAACCAGTATTTAGGTGTTCGAGCTCAAGCTCAATACAGTCGGAATAAAAGACAGAATGATGGATTGTTTGTATTTTGGGGAGGACGTATGTGTGTTGAAAGGAATCTATACGAGGTTGTCGTAGATGACGTCATACGTGCATCGCTGACTACACAACGTGATGCAAGCTCAGCCATCTTGGAACATTTTTTTTAATGACATAGTTCGTAAAGCTGCTTGCATTACGTCAATAAACGACAAAATACATCTAAGAACGAAATAAAGAAAAAGAAACAAACGGCTTATAAATCGCAAATACTTACTCTAACTTCACTTAATAATTCTGTCGCACTTCTTATTGATGATACTTTTTGTTGCTTGCTTTGTTTTGACAGATAGAGATGTAAAAAGAAAGTTTAGCACCGACAGTTCCTTGTACAAATCTTTGCTCATCAGAACAATTGTAGAAACTGCGACCCTTCTATTCATTATGTCGACCCCTAATGTTTTGCAGTAGATCAAGCAGTTCGAAATAGGGGCGGGGACAAAAGGAGGGGAAGAGGGGTGTCTTCACTTTTCAGGAAAGCTTTGAACACTTATAAAAATCTACTAACCACTTACTTATA